AAAAAGATCTTGGGGTGAGTATAACACCAGGCACATCTCCTGAAGCGAACATCAACCAAATAACTGCTGCAGCATATGGGCGCCTGGCAAACCTCAGAACAGCATTCCGACATCTTAATAAGGAATCGTTCAGGACCCTGTACACCGTGTATGTTAGGCCCATATTGGAGTATGCGGCACCAGTTTGGAACCCACACCTAGCCAAGCATGTAAAGAAACTAGAGAAAGTGCAAAGGTTTGCAACAAGAATAGTCCCAGAGTTAAGAGGTATGTCCTATGAGGAGAGGTTAAGGGAAATCAACTTGACGACACTGGAGGACAGGAGAGAGGGGGGGGGGGCATGATAACGGCTTACAAAATACTGAGAGGAATTGACAAGGTGGACAAAGACAGGATGTTCCTGAGACTGGACACAGCAACACGGGGACACAGTTGGAAGCTAAAGACACAGATGAATCACAGGGATGTTAGGAAGTATTTCTTCAGCCACAGAGTAGTCAGGAAGTGGAATAGTTTGGGAAGCGATGTAGTGGAGGCAGGATCCATACATAGCTTTAAGCAGAGGTACGATAAAGCTCATGGTTCAGGGAGAGTGACCTAGTAGCGACCAGTGAAGAGGCGGGGCCAGGAGCTTGGACTCGACCCCTGCAACCTCAACTAAGTGAGTACAACTAGGTGAGTGAGTACAACCGTACACGCACACACACACACACACACACACACACACACACACACACACACACACACACACACACACACACACACCACACACCCACACACCACACACACACCACACACACCCACACACACCCACACACACCCACACACCACACACACCACACACACACACCCACACACACACACACACACACACACACACACACACAAACACACACACACACACACACACACACACACACACACAGAAGTAAGACACGAGAGAGAGGGGTGGGTTGATTGCATCTTCTTGGACTGCAGGAAGGCCTTTGACACAGTTCCTCACAAGAGATTAGTGCAGAAGCTAGAGCATCAGGCGCATATAACAGGAAGGGCACTGCAATGGATCAGAGAATACCTGACAGGGAGGCAACAACGAGTCATGGTACGTAATGATGTATCACAGTGGGCACCTGTGACGAGCGGGGTCCCACAGGGGTCGGTCCTAGGACCAGTGCTATTTTTGGTATATGTGAACGACATGATGGAAGGGTTAGACTCAGAAGTGTCCCTGTTTGCAGATGATGTGAAGTTAATGAGGAGAATTAAATCTGATGAGGACCAGGCAGGACTTCAAAGAGACATAGACAGACTGGACACCTGGTCCAGCAAATGGCTTCTCGAATTTAATCCTGCCAAATGCAAAGTCATGAAGATAGTGGAAGGGCACAGAAGACCACAGACAGAGTACAGGCTAGGTGGCCAAAGACTGCAAACCTCACTCAAGGAGAAAGATCTTGGGGTGAGTATAACACCGAGCATGTTCTCCGGAAGCACACATCAATCAGATAACTGCTGCAGCATAAGGGGCGGCTGGCAAACCTGAGAACAGCATTCCGATACCTTAGTAAGGAATCATTCAAGACACTGTACACCGTGTATGTCAGGCCCATACTGGAGTATGCAGCACCTGTTTGGAACCCGCACTTGATAAAGCACGTCAAAGAAACTAGAGAAAGTACAAAGGTTTGCAACAAGGTTAGTTCCAGAGCTAAGGGGAATGTCCTATGAAGAAAGATTAAGGGAAATCGGCCTGACCTGACACTGGAGGACAGAAGGGTCAGGGGAGACATGATAACGACATATAAAATACTGCGTGGAATAGACAAGGTGGACAAAGACAGGATGTTCCAGGGAGGGGACACAGAAACAAGAGGCCACAATTGGAAGTTGAAGACACAAATGAGTCAGAGAGATAGTAGGAAGTATTTCTTCAGTCATAGAGTTGTAAGGCAGTGGAATAGCCTAGAAAATGACGTAGTGGAGGCAGGAACCATACACAGTTTTAAGACGAGGTTTGATAAAGCTCATGGAGCGGGGAGAGAGAGGGCCCAGTAGCAACCGGTGAAGAGGCGGGGCCAGGAGCTAAGACTCGACCCCTGCAACCACAAATAGGTGAGTACACACACACACACACACACACACACACACACACACACACACACACACACACACACACACACACACACACACACACACACAACACACACACACACACCACACCCACCCACCCACCCACCCACCCACCCCTACCTACCTACCTACCTCTGAAAAAAAAACATACCACGGGCGGGGATAGAACCCGCGATGGTCTGGAGTTTTGAGATTCTCTGAATGCGGGTTCTATCCCCGCCTGTGGTATGGTTTGTTTGCAATCGTGTCATTACGATTTCGTGAGTCATACTCCCCTCTGGGTTTTCTTCTGTTTCCTTATCAATTCTTGTTCTTGTTTATTTCCTCTTTTGTTTTTCCTTTTGGGCCACCCTGCCTCAGTGGGATACAGCCAGTTTGTTGAAAGATGAAGAATGTACATATATACAAAGGTTGTTGTAGATGATTTATTATATTCATTAGGAAGTGCTAAATCATGTAACAGATGATTTAAGAATCATCTTTGGTAGGTGAGAAAACTGGTGCTAATGTCAGTATAGTATGTGGATTATGATCACCCCTAGGAGCCTCAGCCAATTATGTTATAATGCCTAGCCTAACTTTTCCTGTAAAAATAATGCACCCTTTCAACAATGCAATATGGTTCCATTTATAAACCTGTGCATGTACTCAGAGATAGCTTCTCCACATTTGAGATGCATGTTTCATTCTACTTTTGTAAGTACACAGGAGGAAGTCAATCAGTTGCTTCCTGCAACAGAAGTGTTATATTCACAATAAATTGTGCACCACCCTAAAAGTTTTATCCATGGAAGAGGACTGATGCATGCAGTGTTTTCACATTCTCTTCCTCCATTTGCTTTCTTACAATGGGGTTCTCTTTAGCAGGCTAAAAAAATGAGACAAGAGCAGCTAATATATGACTGCAGACACCTGACTTCAGACAGGTACAGGAACTGAGTTAGATGATGGAGGGAGTACCTTTAGAGTGAGGGTGGTTTCCATTACTGGCCTTTGGAGATGCTATTTGGTCGATGCAATCATAGCAGACTTTAGGATTTTGTGTTATACATTGTTTGCTTTATATATAATGGAAGCAGCCTTCCTGTTATTATGGTTATGATTTCTTACATACTAGAAAACTACTGAACTATCCTGTGTATATGTGGCAAATTTCTTGTGTTCAGTTACTCCACTGAATAAATTTCTATCTGTTTATCTTATGTATGATTGGTTGCAGTCCATGTAAGGAATTTCATACATGTATACACTAGGGATATTAAGGAGGGTTCATTTTTTCAATCCGCTCATTACACAACTGCCTATTTTGTTAGGTTAAATAAAAAAAAATATGAGAAGGAATTACATTTTTTATGATGATCTTGTGCTTGATTTTGAAGTAAGGAGTCAACTGAACTGCACAGTTGATGAATGAGAGACCTATGCAACACTTTAGTATCTTTACTGTGAAAATAATTAGCCAATACAGAGAAGAATGATGGAAGATGAGGAGTTTAGTACATCAATCTTGATAAAAGTGCAGCATATGAATGGAGAAAGGGCTTATATACTGCAGACAGGTGAGGCAATGTAGTCTGAAGTGCTGTCACTATGGTAAAATCCACAGGTGGAAGTAGGTCATGCTTATAGGTTAGGCAAGCATAGAATTTCCAATATCAAGATCCCATCTAGACTGATGGACTCTAAACACATCAACTCCAGGCAGAGGGACTGATTACCTTCAACTCCTCATCTTCCACCACTCTTCTCTGTACTGAACTGAGGAAACTACTGGCTGGTGAAACATTTTCAGAATAAAAATACCCAAGTATTGCACAAGTGTCTCATTCATCAACTTGTCGGTTTTCTGAACCATTTAGAATATAACAATGAACTGCCCAGTGATGGTGCTGCAGTGCACAGTGTTGTGGACTGCACAGTTTGAGTATGTGTAGAAATAATCCAATAATTACACTTTTCTTAGTCTGGTCAGAATGGTAAGTGAAAAAAGTAAATAACAGGCCAAATTCATAGACTTATGGTAAACCATGGGTGCCAACTGATTACTGAAGTATATAAGTGCATCCAGGAAGAGAATTATTAAATTTGCAAAATATGCCAAACCTGCATTGGTTTGGCATCTTTCTCGAACATTACTTGAAATTTAGCAATCTAACAGCCAAGCTAGAACTAATGTACAGTAATATGCACTCATTAATATAGCATAATCCTGCATAGCATAACTAAAATCACTTAAATTTAATTAAAATTATTACCATTAAGTAAATATACTATATTAATATTCACAAGTTCTCCCATCACTGCTGATGTCTCAGGAGCATACCATAACCCTAGTGATTAAGGTTTGAATGTATTGTACCTGGGACTATTTTGATTGATACTGGGACTATGTCAAAATCATTCCTCTCCAGACTTGAGATTTTACAGAATGGTAACCAAATCCAATATGCCATGATTCCCTACAAATTTGAAGTAGTGGTGTGGTTCAGTACATATTTTTTTTTTTTATCAGACTGGCCGATTCCCACCAAGGCAGGGTGGCCCGAAAAAGAATAACTTTCACCATCATTCACTCCATCACTGGTTCAGTACATGCTTACTAAAAAAAAAAAAATCACTGAAGCAACTAGGAGTACAGTGTTAAGGAATATTTTCATTTGCATCCTGGCTGAGAGGCTTTTGGCATGCTCAAAAACTTGAGTTTATTTTACAAACATTTGACCTCAGTTAGACCAGGAATCAAATCCATGTCAATAATATTCACAGTCATGCCCAAGATTTCAAAGTATGGTAATCAAACCCATAATGCCACAATCCACTATATGTGGGTTTAGTTACCATACTTAATTCAATAGCTCTTTATCACTCACTTGACGTTTGACACTTGAAGAAGAATTGGTACTTCTTGGTCTTCCCAATGCGGGTAGGCTAGATGTCTGTAATGATCATTATTTAAATTATAATAAAACAATTAGGGTAAAGTATAACATAACACACATTTTGTCTCAATTTAATGGTACTGTATACACTGTATTATACATAAATTTACACAAATGATCAATAGTTCAGAGTCATGCCAAGATAAGCGCTGTACCTAATGTATTACAAATTAAAGGACTGTTTTTAATGCAAGGATAACAAATATTTTTTTTAAGTACCATGGACAGAATGCTTTGCTAGCATTTGCCAAATTCATTTAGTTTTTTATCTCGTACCTGCGGTAAAGCAAATGATTTGTCCTCATCTTCAATAGCAAATGTTAAGGGCAAACTTCTATAGTTATCATCTCGCTTGTCAAGCTCTTCCATTAGAAATCTGAGGAAAGAAGAAAAGCATCATCACTGCAGATCTATTTAGTAATGTAAAACATATTCTTGGTTCAGTAATTAGTGAAGACTCCATCTAATAAATAGAACCAGTGACAATTTTTGCATCAATACAGTAATTAATTAAATACAGTACATGAATTGTAAAGAGTTTAGCAACCATCACATTGTAATGAAACTATCTTTTTTTTTTATTTTACAATGGTTTTTGCTTTACTCTTTCTGATAAGTAGTCACAAAATAAATTACTGAATTAAATAAAATAACAATTATTTGATATTTCCGGCATGAGCCACTGTGCATATACACACACACACATAAGAAAGAGAAAGAGACAAACACACACACAATGAATGACTTGGTATGGAATGTTTTTTCTTTGAGTAAAACATAATGACAGGATGAGATAATAATATGTAAATCTTTCATTTTTGTGGACCACCTTAATGAGCATCTATACAAGAAATGGGCATACATACCAGGGGAAATGAACATCCATATAGGTAATGGGCACACATGCTAGAAGAAATAAACAGTTATATAAAAAATGAACAACCATGGGGAAGGGGGGAAATAGACATTCATCATGGGGAAGGGGGAAAACTGGCATTTATTTTGAAAGAAGTGTGCATTAGTGCTGAAGGAAATGAGCATTCATTCTATCACGTATTAGCAAGTTCACTGTATCAACAAGCAATTGCTGTAAAATAAACTGACACTGTAGTAGAAATTGGGAACATGTGATAGGATCAACAAAGGTTCACTTACTTTCTTTCCTTCCTTAGTCGTCGTACAATCTTCTTCACTTGATAAACACGATTCACCAGCATTTCATTTTCCTTCAAAATAGTATACAAAAATTAATATTAAAAGAATATTGAAAGTGTTAAATAAGTTAATAACTAATACATATTCATTAATTAAATTACTTACAGAAGTACAAAAATGGTTGTTTGCTCCCAAGTCATACTCTTGCTAAAACAATGTACAATATATATACTGTATATCACAGTGCTGGAGAGATGGGGTAAAGAAAGTTTTGTATGCAAGGGGCATGGACATCAAACAGGCATGTGCAAGCATGTTAGACAGGAGTGAATGGAGGCAAAGTGGTTTTTAGGCTTGACGTACTGTTGGACTGTAACCAAGATAACATTTTATGAAGGGATTCAGGGAAACTGGTTAGCTAGACTTGGAATCCTGGAGGTGGGAAGTACATTGTCTTCACTTTGAAGAAAGGGTGAGGGTATTGCAGTTTGGAGGGGCATCTGGGCTGTTATGTCAGCATGCCTCTGGCAAGACAGTGATAGAGTGAGTGATGCTGAAAGTGTCTCTTCGTTTTTAGATCACCCCTACCTTGGTGGGAGACAACCAACAAGTTAAAAACAAAAACAAAAATAAGCTAAATCTACATAATGTACTGTATATAGGTGCCAATAATGTGTGTGCCCTCAAGTCATTGTAAAAAAGATTGTATATTGTGTATGAAATATTTAAATAAAATTTTACTGTATTTCAACCCCTGTTGGTTGATGCATCATAACTGTAAGACCATATTATAAACAACATTATAGGCAAGTCTTACACTGATAACTGTTGATTATTACTATTATAATAAAAAAGAAGTGCTAGTGATAACTGTTGAAAATCAAATGAAATCAAATCAAAGTTTATTCTCTATAAGGGTTACAATGCGAGGTTTACAGATTTTGGTTATAGTGTGGTTTACATGTAATAAAATACTAATTACAGAGGGGGCCACTAGAACACCTAGCATGGCTAGGTATTTCGGGCAAACTTAGATTAATCCTTAACCCTAAATTATTACAAATTGCGGAGTAAGTTGACTAAATACTAAGTGACTAAATACTAGTTTGTGAGTTTAGCAATGTGAATGCTTTTGTTTTGGCACAATACAGTTTCTATATTGGAGTATCACAGGCAAACTTGTGACTAGTTAGGAATCATTATTTTAAGATTAAGATACGTATTTCTGTGCTTACAGTCAAATGGGTGAGTAAGTGTGAACCACCAGGTGGTTTTTATGTAGTTAGTTGACGGGGTGTATCAAGTGGGTATAATATAATGCTAATAATGATGAGAGTTATGTTTTAACCAAATATACAACTTTTTTCCTAAAACATGTTACATAGGTGTGAAAATGAGAAAAAGATATATAATGCAATGACACTATTATAATTAAACAAACTTAAAACAATGGCAGCTTATACACTGGTGTTTGACTTAAAGTAAACGCTACATAATGCACAAGATGTAATTGAAAAGTGTACTGGAATATGCCATAGTTATACCTGGAGTATACCTGAAAAGGGTTCCGGGGCTCAACGCCCCCGTGGCCCGGTCTGTGACCACGCCTTATGGTGGATCAGGATCTGATTAAGAGATTAAGCTACTGAAGAAGTTTACCTTATTTTTATTACTTAGCATAAAAAAAAAGACATGTTCCATCAGTTGTAAGGGAAACACTAAACCCATAAGGATCGTACTATGTGTGAAGGATGGGAGACTATCAGATGTGATTCAAGAAATCTATCCTATGATAGATTTAATTCCTTGAATCAAGAAGCCTTCCACAGAATCGATAACTAGTAAGTTTATTTATGTACAGGTACACATAAGTACAATTATCATACATAGTGTAAATTATCTAGGATAGCCCCCCACCCCCCGGAAAAAAAAATAAAGTCGGACAGTGGCAAATTTCCATTGGGGTCATTGAACTTTTCAACCCTTACCTTCTGAACACAACTGCACCGCCTTAAGATGGCGTTATATTTCTTATAGTACTTATCTTCAGTACTATTTTCCAGTGAAGCAAACCCTGGCATGATATTAGCCTCGTGTTGAGAGTTATCCTCGTCTTCCCCGGCACCAGCAAACATCGTGTTGTTATTGTTGGCTTTAAGGGTTCCCATGGCAGGACACTAAGTTGTGGTAACACTGATGGCTAGATTATCATGGGGGAGCGCTAAACCCGTAGGGATTATACAGTGCCTGTGGAGGGGTTGAATGGAAGGTATTCAGACTCAATTCAGAAAACTGGAGCTCAAATTCCCTATATCAAGAGCCCCTCGATGGCTAGGTTGTACGTTGGGTTTAAAGCTCAAGTAAGGATTTTTTCCCATATCTTGTCAGCATCACCATAATATTTCTCAATAGTGCCCTCATCTCTTGGTGTGAGGGACAGGGATCACTTCACACTACGGACGAAACGTCAGGTGTTTCCTTACACTTGCCGTCCCTGTTCACCTAGAAGTACATGGATACCTGGGTGTTAGTAGATTTTTGGGGGACCTGACGAGTTGTTGGAGTGTGAGCAGGGTAATATTTTGTGAAGGGATTCAGGGAAACTGATTGGCCGGACTTGAGTCCTGGAGGTGGTAAGTACAATGCCTGCACATTAAAGAAGGGGTTTAGGATATTGGCTGTTTGGAGTGACATCTAAACTGTCATATCTAAGCACCTCTGCAAAGACAGTGATTATATATGAATGTTAGTGAAAATGTTAAACGATGGCGAAAGTTTTTTCTTTCTTTTTGGATCACCCTGCCTCGGTGGAAAGTTGCCGACGTGTTAAAAAAAATACAAAGAGGCTCTTGAACTAAATTGGATTCAGTCTTAACTTCTTTGGGTTGAACTTGAAAACCTTCCATTATCTCAGGCCCTGTATGGCTACCAGTTTAGCACTGACTCCATGACTCTCTTCGAGGAAAATTCCTTTATTATTATAATCATGGTGAGCGCTAAACCCGTAGTATTATACAGCGCATGTGGGGGGATGGGAGATATTCAGGCTTAATTCAGGAACTGGAGCACAGATGCAATTCCCTAGATCAAGAGCCCCTCACCAGTGTCAAGGAACCTCTCTTGAGGGGTAAGTTCCTTCATGTAGGTGAAGAGCACAACAAAAAAAATGTATGACACCTATGGGTTTAGCACTTTCCATAAATATAAACCCCATCATTATTATAATAAAAAGAATTGCTAAACTCACTAGGGTCATGCAGCACTGCAATATATAATCCCCATGAATATAATACAGTAATAATAATGGGAGTCCCTATTGTCATGTCTGTTGTAAATGGCATGTTAGTGGGTTTTTGTCCTTAACAACACTTTATAAAATGTAATCACATTGAAACCTTTGCAAAGAAATAAAATTTATTTGTTTGTTTGGTGATTGTGTTGAGAATATGTTGAAATTTATGTACCCCTGTTGCTAATTATTGCTGCATTTTTTTTTACTTCTCAGCCATTTTCTACTGAGGCAGTGAACCTGAATAAAGAAGAAATGAAAGTTCTTCTCATTACATTTAGTAATTTATAGATAAGGGGTTACTAGCCCCTTGCTTCTGGCATTTTAGTCATCTCTTATGACATGCATGGCTTACAGAGGAAAGTCTTTTTCACTTCTCTTTGGAGATGAAAGAAAATAAATAAGAATAAGAATTATTAAGAATACAGAAGAAAATTAAAATGGGTGTACAGTATACATATATGTGTACATGTATGTGTAATGTTGATAAATTAGACACATGTGCAACTCTTGGGTATCTTTATTAAGGAAACGTTTCGCCACACAGTGGCTTCATCAGTCCATACACAGGAGAAGCTTGAAGAATAGGAGGTAATAAAGTTGGTAGAATTTCCGACAATATGTAAAGTAAAAGGACACAAGTGTAACTAATGTGACATTTATTGTGGCAACGTTTCGCTCTCCAGGAGCTTTATCAAGCCATTACAAACAATACATGGACACAGAGGGTATATAAAGGCTCAGAGTGAGGTGCAATACTAGTGAGGTACCATTTCGATGTTCACTAGTGGTAGTAGTAGTAGTAGTAGTGGTAGTGACAAAAGTAATACAATATGGTAGAGCAATTAATTCGTACATGAGTAAAAGGAAATAAAAGCTATTACTTGGGTAACATAAAAATAGGTTGGACAAATGTAGACTGGAAAGAGGCAGCTTGTTTCAGTGTTCACTCTCTGTAATGTGCTTTGTGTAGTATAACAGTAGAGACTATGTGATGGCAGGGTTTACTGTTTTCAGGAGGATTCTTGCTAAGACTTCGGAGATGGTGAAGCTGCCGTTGTTTTGTTTAATTGTACCTCACTAGTATTGCACCTCACTCTGAGCCTTTATATACCCTCTGTGTCCATGTATTGTTTGTAATGGCTTGATAAAGCTCCTGGAGAGCGAAACGTTGCCACAATAAATGTCACATTAGTTGCACTTGTGTCCTTTTACTTTACATACAAGAATAGGAGGAGAATGAGGTAATCAGTCCCTCAACCTTGAGTCGATGTGGTCAGTCCATCAATCTTGAGTAGAATATGGCATATGAGCGGAGAAGGAGCTTATAAATCGTAGGTAGGAGAGGTGCAGCAGTCATAGCTGGTGTCACATTTGCCCAATGTGGAAGTAGGTCGTGCCCAAGGGTTAGGCAAGCGAAGAATTCCCAAGTATTAAGATCCCAAGAAGTTGCAGTGTCTGACAGGATTGTAGATGAATGTGACACCACCTATGACTGCTGCACCTCTCCTACCTACGGTTTATAAGCTCCTTCTCCGCTCATATGCCGTATTCTACTCAAGATTGATGGACTGACCACATCGACTCAAAGTTGAGGGACTGATTACCTCATTCTCCTCCTATTCTTCAAGCTTCTCCTGTGTTTGGACTGATGAAGCCACTGTGTGGCGAAACGTTTCCTTAATAAAGATACCCAAGAGTTGCACATAGTGTCAATTTATCAACGTGTCGGTTCTGTGAACCATTCATCTACAATGTGTAATGTTACCCAAGTAAGATTTTTTTTTTTTTCAACAAGTCGGCCGTCTCCCACCGAGGCAGGGTGACCCAAAAAAGAAAGAAAATCCCCAAAAAGAAAATACTTTCATCATCATTCAACACTTTCACCACTCACACATTATCACTGTTTTTGCAGAGGTGCTCAGAATACAACAGTTTAGAAGCATACACATATAAAGATACACAACATATCCCTCCAAACTGCCAATATCCCAAACCCCTCCTTTAAAGTGCAGGCATTGTATTTCCCATTTCCAGGACTCAAGTCCGACTATATGAAAATAACCGGTTTCCCTGAATCCCTTCACTAAATATTACCCTGCTCACACTCCAACAGATCGTCAGGTCCCAAGTACCATTCGTCTCCATTCACTCCTATCTAACACGCTCACGCACGCTTGCTGGAAGTCCAAGCCCCTCGCCCACAAAACCTCCTTTACCCCCTCTCTCCAACCCTTTCGAGGACGCCCCCTACCCCGCCTTCCTTCCCCTATAGATTTATATGCTTTCCATGTCATTCTACTTTGATCCATTCTCTCTAAATGACCAAACCACCTCAACAACCCCTCTTCTGCCCTCTGACTAATACTTTTATTAACTCCACACCTTTTCCTAATTTCCACACTCCAAATTTTCTGCATAATATTACACCACACATTGCCCTTAAACAGGACATCTCCACTACCTCCAACCGTCTCCTCGCTGCTGCATTTACCACCCAAGCTTCACACCCATATAAGAGTGTTGGTACTACTATACTTTCATACATTCCCTTCTTTGCCTCCATAGATCATCCATGTGTTTATATAGAAGATCCTTGGGGCTAGTGACTGTATGACATCATGGGATGCGCATGAGTGAGTGGGACCCGCTACCTCGCTCTCACTCCACGCTTAGACATACAGCAGGCAGTAACACGGCAGGCTGGGCAGACACTGTACTTCCCATCTCCAGGACTCAAGTCCATATTATTATTACTGGACTCAAGTCCAGCCTGCCAGTTTCCCTGAATCCCTTCATAAATGTTACCTTGCTCACACTCCAACAGCATGTCAAGTCCTAAAAACCATTAGTCTCCATTTGCTCCTATCTAACATGCTCATGCATGCTTGCTGGAAGTCCAAGCCCCTCTCACACAAAACCTCCTTTACCCCCTCCCTCCAACCTTTCCTAAGCTGACCCCTACCCTGCCTTCCCTCCACTACTGATTTATACACTCTCGAAGTCATTCCAATTCCTTCCATCCTCTCTGTATGTCCAAACCTGTTATCTTCAAAATTCAGAAATTCTTAATTTTTATTTCTTTGTAAAGTTTACAATGTGAGGTTTACATATTACAAAATATAAAGTACAAAGAAAGCCACTAGCATGCTTAGACATTTGTATGTTTATGTGAGAGAAAGAAAGACACCAACAATCTTACCATTGTGTAAAACAATTACAGGTTTCTGTTTCACATTCATTTGACAAGGGCAGTAGTACCTCCCTGGGTGGTACTACTATCCCCTCTTCTGTTTTAAACTGTCAAATCCATTCATTCCCTAGGCTTTCTCATCCTATTAACCTCACTCCAATTTTGTTTTTATTCTCAGCAAAATTTGACAGAACCTCACCCACTCTCTCATTTGCTTACCTTTTACACTTCCTCACCACTCTCTTTTACTCTCCACCCCCCTTATATCACTTCTGCTTTGTAAAATCCTTTCATATTTTAAATATTTCTTCAACGTCATTACCTATACTCTCACTAGTCCATCTTTCTCCCCATAGTTGCTTATATCTTACTCTAACTACCTCCTCCTTTAGTTTGTAAACTTTCACCTCTCTCTTGCTGATGCCATTTTCCTTTTGCTCTATGTACCTCTTACTCTCACTGTAATGATCTGATATATATATTGCCCCTCTATAAACATGAACATCCAGAAGTCTACCTTTCAATCTTTTATCCATCAGTACATAATCCAACAAACTACTGTCATTATGCCCTATATCATATCTTATATATACGTACTTATCTCGTATATACTTATTTATCCTGTGTATTACATATTACCAAACCCTTGGCACCCCAAGCTTACCTACTACACCTTCTACAAGTTTCTCCCATTTTAGCATTTTTTTCCCCTACTACAATTACTCTCATATGGGTCAAAACTCTCTAAACACTCACTCAACTCCCAAAATCTCTCTCCTCTACACTCCTCTGTTCTCCAGGTGCATAAACAATATAACTTCACTTTTTGCCTCCGAC